CAGAGACTGACATCTGGTCCCTTCCTTACTTGTTCTCCATTTTGTTTTTGAGAGAGTGTTTCTCACTGAAGCTGGCTCTCAGGGTTTGGCTAGACTGGCTGGTCAGCAAGCCCTAGGGATCTTCCTGTCTTCGCCTCCCTAGTGCTAGGATTGTGGGTGCATGGTATCATTCCTGGTTTAGTTCAAAGACTGTACTGGGGCTTAAATTTAGCTCCGTGTACTTACAGAGCAAGCACTTACCTCCCCCCCCCCCCAGCGCTCTCCAGCCCTGGAATACTTTTTTTTTTTTTATAAAGCCAATGTTTCAATGTTTCTCTCACTGTGTAGCCCAGGTTGGTCTACAGTTTAAGATCCTCCTGCCTCAGCCTAGGATTATAGATGCAAACAGATGCAGTGTTTAGCTTTTTATTTGCGTGCTGGAGATCTGAACTCAACTCCTTGCTTGTGTGACTGAACCATCTTCCCAGCATGAGGTGGAATACTTTCAATGAGAAGATTTTCATCAATTAGAGGAGAATTTTACCCCCCCCCTTTTTTGACTATTTGAGGATTCCATATTTGCAAATTTTCCTAAGTGCTAGCATTTATTTGTAACCTGAAAATTAATACTCCTGCTGCTGTTCCAGTGAGTCACAAACAGGAGCATACAAAAAGTAGAAAAAACTTTGATCGAGTCAGTGTGTGTTCCCAGCTGAGGTTAAATAAGGTGACTCAGTCTCCTGGTTTTGCTTTTCATAATGAGTCCTTTCCTTTCCTTTTTCCTTTTGTGATTTTGTTTAAAATGACCCCAGACCTACTGCTGAAGTGCTGAATGATGTTCCTAAGCACAGGAAAACTGGTGTGTTGTGGACAAAATAAGTAAGTTAGTTCAGGTGCAGATATAAGTGTAATGTTGTAAAGTGCTTTAAAACAGAAACATACATAAAATAAGTTGGTATATTAGTTGGTTGATTGAACTTTTGTCACGAAAGAGTCTGGAAAAAACCTTAAATGTATCTTTCCTAGGAACAGTGGTTCAGTGTTTGATTATTCTGTATTTGCACTAACCTGATAAAACATTGTGAATCAGATGTTTGATTTTGATGAACAGAAGTAAAGAATTTTTTTGACTTTCCTGATGAACAGAAGTAATGATTTTTTTAATGACTATAAAAGGTATACTGGAAAAGTTGTAGGTCATGGAAGTACGGATAATATTCACCCCAACCCTTCTGCTTGACTCCCCCATATCCATCTCCTCAGCCCCTTCCAATTTTATGTCCTCTTTCTTTTTTAATAACTCACCAAGTTCAGTTTGTGCTGCTCATGTACTCATGGGTGTGGGGCCATCTACTGGAGTGTGGGTCACCTACCAGGGCCACACCCTTAAGAAAACTGGCTCTCCCTCCCCTAGCAGTTGGCAGTAGCTCTTCAGTTACAGAGGAGGCTCATGAACTCCTCCTCCCTCTCTGTAGTATGCCGACTGGCTTGACCTTACAGTCTCACGCCTGCAGACACAGCTGCTGTGAGTTCGCAGTGCAGTGGTCCTTGTTATGTTCCAAAGGCACTTTCACGCCTACCTCCTCACCTCTGGTTCTTAGAACCTTTCTTCCCCTCTTCCTTGACGGTCCCTGAGCCTTTGGGGTGTGAGGAGGAGTGTGGTATGCACTTCCTACTTCTGCCTGAGTGCTCTGCTGACACTGTCTTTCCTCTGATTAGTTGAGTTTTGTGCTTGCCACTGCCTACTGCACAAAGAAACTTCCCCAGTGAGGTTTGAGGGCTGCAGAAAGATGAGTTCTGGGGACACTTTGATACTGTGTCTCTTTAGCAGAATAATAGTAATAAATTCAACGCAGGGGCCTGTGAGCTCTGGAGTCATGGGTTCAGAGTCAGATTTATGGTACTAGGCATGAGTTTTCTAGAGCAGGCCTGGAAACCAATTGGAAAGCAGCAGGTTACACTCATGAGGTTGTTCCTACTGTTGTACCCCTGGGTGTATCTTGCCAGACTAGTTGTTACTGTAATTCAGAGGGTTCCATGGTAGAAGAGGTTTGTTGGAGGGTTAGGCAGGTCAGTTCTGGGACTGGAGAAGTAGTTGATGGAGTGATAAAATATTCCTGTTTCATTTCCAAACTGTAATCAGCCAGAGGGCTTCCCTCTCACCATCTTACCTGGAAAGACAATTCTTAAATGGTCAGACTATGAGTCTGATCCGCAGTTCTCTGTATGTAGATAGTATGTGCTTAGAAGACTGGGTAGTTTCCAGTTCTGCTGACAGTTGAGACATGTGGGCTTCAGGAAAGATGTATGGGTGTTCATACTCACTTATGAGGGGCTGGAGAGATGGTTCAGTAGTTAAGAAGTTAAGAGCACTTGTTCTTCTTTTAGAGGACCTGAGTCTGGTTCCCAGCACCCATGTCAGGTGTCTCACACACTCTAATTCTAGCTCCAGGAAATCCATCACCCTCTTCTGGCCTCTGCAGACACCTACACATATGTAGCACACACACATAAACATACACATAAATAAATATAAAAAACAAATCCACTTGTGAAATTGAAAACAAAAGACACTGTGTGGACTTCTACACTCTCACATCGTGGTGTATTGGTCTGCTTTCTGTTAGCATTCTGAAAACTTGAAGTTGAATGCTTTTATAAAGAAAGGAAGTTGGCCTGATGAGATGGCTCATTGGCAAAGTGTCTGCTGTGCAACCATAAGATCATGAGTTCATATTCCCCAGATTCTTGCAAGAGATCCAGATGTGGTTGTTGCATACATCCCTAAGTCTATTGCTGGGGAACAGTGGAGACAGCTGGATTTCTGGAATGTGCTGACTAGCTGCTCAAGTCAGTCAGTACTAGTTTCAGAGAGGGAACCCATCTTAAAAAGATAAGGTAGAAAACAATTGAGGAAGACAGCCACAACTTGCCACATGTGTGCACATGTATGCATACACACATGCATAAACGTGATCACACAGAAACTATATGCTCATATTTATGCTTCACCCTCCCTCCTCCAATAGAAGTTGATTTAGCTCATAGTTCTAGAGATTTAAGGGCATGCAGATGACATTGGCTTGTTCTGGTGAAGAAATTCATTTTGGGTGTTCTTATGGTTGTGGATAGAGACGTCACATGGTGAGACAGGAAAACAGAGGGTAGGGGAAGCTCTTTTATGACACTTGGGAACTAAATTACTTCCAAGGGTTTATCTTGATGACCGTCTAGGTCTGATTTTTTTCTAGGACTGCTTAAAAAAATCACACTATCTTTTAGTATCACTTTGGGGACCCAGTTTTCAGCATGTGAGCCCTTGGGGACATGTTCAAACTATACCTATCATGGTGTCTACTTACTTGAGAATAGTCAGATCTAGATGGCTAGAAAATTCTTTTAATTAGACTTACAAATTTTCCTCTTCTGAGGAAGTTTAGAATTTGATAGATTCTTACTTAAAAATTGCCTTCATTGTACCTAATTATAATGTGCTATGATTTGGCATTCCTCTTGTTATATATTAGTTTTAATTGTAGGAATATTTTTGACCACAATCTATAGAAATGTATTTTACCTAAGATCAGTCCCCCTTTTTCTTTCTCGAGAGCGCGCGTGCGTGCGTGTGCGCGCGCGCGCACACGCACACCGTTCATTATAGAACTGAAAGTCTCATTAAACATGATTTTTGGGCCAGGCATGTTTGCTCATGCCTTTGATCCCAGCACTTGGGAGGCAGAGACTAGTGGGTCTCTGAGTTTGAGGTTAGCCTAGTCTAAACCAGTGAGTTCCAGGACAGCCAGGGCTATGTAGACAGACCCTTTCTCAAAACAAAACAAGCAATAACAACAAAAACAATATGATTTTCCTTATTACAGATGTGCACTCCATTTTCTTTTCTAATAGACAGTGTCATTTTAAATAACTGCTGTTTAAGACCCACGAAGTTAGTTAGGTGGATCCTACCTCATCCATAGTTGAGAGAATATAAAAACCAGTTAGTAATCTCTTTTTTCTTTTAAATTTCCCTCCCTCCCTCCCTCCCTCCCTCCCTCCCTCCCTTCCTTCCTTTTTCTTTTCTTTTTTGCATTTTCCCCTCTTTTAGGTGGTAAGTTTCAAAGGCTAGACAGTCCTGGATCATCTTCATAGGAATGTACAGGGGCATCATTGAAATCAAGTTTCAGAAATACTAAGTTATTTTAGATGATAGGTTCTAAGTCATTTGAGGCAATTTTTGTAGTGTGTAATTAAAGAAACTGATGTCCATATTTTTGACATTACAGCTAATGATTTAACTTTAAAAATAAGTGTTTATTCTTTTTGTAGACAATTGCGGTTGGAGTAATGCCAGACCCCAGGAACTGGGACACTTGCTGCTAACAGCATGTGATGTAGTGGCCAGCCATCACATTGCAAATGTCTCCGTTCATTTACATTTCAGAGAGGCTTGAAGACGCATATTCTGAGACAGTTTTTCATAGAGACATTGATACCCCAAACGAGCCTTTTTGTAATAAATACATAGTTTTAACTTTGTACTTTTTGAGAATTTTATACATGAATACTTTTCATCATTTTCACCCTCTCCAACTCCCTCTATGTCCCCTCTACTCCTTTCAAATTCAAGGTCTCGTCTTTATTATTTTTATATTCATACATATATACACACAATACATACAACCTAGTGGGTCTGTTTAGTGTTGCTTATATAAATACATGTATATAATTTTTTTATTTCATGTAACAAACCTGTGGGGAAGTAACACTGTCACAAATAAGATTTGAATATAAAATTTGATATTAACTTTTTGTTACAGTTTTGTGCTTGTAAATTTTAATGTTTATTAGAGGTGCATGGACTAGTTCTTTTCCTTTTTTAAAAAACTACAACAATATTTTGAAAGTTAGTATAATGTTAAATTATTTTAAAAATCTAGAACTTCTCATGGGTGTCTATTTGGCATAGGAGGTGGAATGTAACTACACAGATACATTCTAAGACTGTTTCTCTGTTTTATCTAGGTCAGCCCTCTGTGTAAGGTCTTAAATGATTGAACCATGCAGATTAGAAAATCTGATTTTCTGTTTTGAAGATTTATCAGTGATTGTCAAATTAGAGTATACCAGTCCCTGTGTGTCTACACACAGTCAGGTAATACTAGTGTTCTCCAGATGGAGAAGCTCTTTTATTAGTGGATGTCAGTATATCACAATTGAAGCTGTTCATGAAAATAAGACAATTGATTATTCATATTTGCTCCTTCTTAAAGACAATTGAAAAAGCACCCTTTTGGCTAGTTCCCTGTCTTTTAACATACATTTTGTTACCACTTACACGCATTCATGTAGCTAACTATGTTTACTAAGTTTAGTAGAAAGATTAGGATTTCAGTTAAAGGGGAAACAGCTGTTAGAAAAATTACAGTATCCTCAGGCATTATAAAGATTTTGTGTTATGAAAAATTGTGAACAGGGTGTGTTTCTGTGACACACCTCAGTAGTTACGATGCCTAATCTTTACGATCTACTGTTTAGTCATGTTCCTTGTATCCCTTGAGTTGACTGTTTCTCTAAACACATTCATAGTCTCACTCTCGATAATATCTGTAGCTATAGTACAGCACTACTACACACTACACACCACACACGACAGCACTACAGCACTACACACCACACACTACACACTACAGTTCTTTCCTTAGCTATTTTTTTAAAGTAACTGGAATTTAATTGAACACAGCGAATCATATCTAGTCACATTTGTGCTTTGTGATCGACTACTAGGAAATGCAGAAATAAATTCGCTTTGTGTGGGTGCTAAACTGAACAGTATGTAATATTTCTTCCTCATTTTCTGACTTAAATATTTTTTAGGCCTTTGATAGTATGTCTATTGAAACTGTTCTAGATTTTTAAAAAAACATAGTTGAATTTTCAACCACTGGTGTTAGTATTTAGACAAATTGTTTGTGAGATTTATTTATCTAGTTTTCAAGTGCTGGGGCTGGGGCTCAGGTCCCAGGTTCCACTTGCATGTGGAAGGCAAGTACTTTATGAAAGAGCTACAACCAGCCCTGTTTCCAAGAAGGTGTGTGTTTATACAACAGTTCAGTGAGGAAATGGAAGTGTACCTTGTTAGTTGTTCATTCCTCCTTAAAGATTGTGTCATCATTGAAAACTATGGGTTCTTCCGTCAGAAAAATGCTGGAGAGGTCATGGATTTCAGATTAAGAAGTCCCCAACCCCTTCCAGGTCAGTAAACTGAGAGGAGTGCTTACCTCTGGGAAGGCAAACAGGCTGAGGAGGGAGAAATGTGTAAATATCCGTGGAACATTTTTACTTCATTTGTGGATTATTTGGTTTCTTATATGTACAGTATGGTTTTGGATAGCTCACTATTTAAACATAAATGAAAAGCTATACATCGAAAATACAAAAAATTTCCAAAGAAAATAAATTTTTTTCTAAATGGAAAAAAAGCAGAGAAGGAATTTTATTTTAAAAGTTTTAAAAATATTGCTACTATATTAGTTAATAGTTAACAGTTCATTAACTATTTAAGAGAGCTGCATCTTAAGATAAGCTTTATGTAAAAATAAGGGGGATATGCTTTGAGATATTGTGCTAAGTTTTTGTTTCATGAATAGGCATCGTTTTTTAATATTTATTTTAAATTATTTATGTATATTTGTGTGCATGCATGTGTGCATGTGTGGAGGACAGAGGACAGTTTTGGGGGGTTGAAGCACTATGCCTTTAGCCTCTGAGCCATTCAATCAGCCCAGCTATTATTTTAAAACCCCTAATTTGAGGTGCAGTGTACATATAACACCATGTGCAGGTTTTCAGTGTAGTTTTATGCATTGGCAAATGTATAGCTGCCTATACTGTACCTTAATGAAGGTACAGCACATACGTACACATCCATGAGGAAGTTCTTCCACGATATTTTCTAGTGAACTATCCTCCACCTGGTAAACCATGGCTGATTTCTATTCCTGTAGTTTAGTTCTGCTGGTTCTAGGATTTCAATGACTATAACTCATTTGTGCCTGATGTCTTTTGAGCTACTTGTGATTCAGATAGTATCCTGTTATATGAATGTTTATTCTTCTGTTGAGAATACTTGGTTTGTGTCCAGTTTTGGTTAATATAAATAAGGTTACAATAAGAATTGGTGACAGATCTGTCTGAATACATTGTTTTATTGATAGGTCATAGGATAAGTATACATTTAACTTTATAAGAAACTGTCAACTATTTTATACTTGTACCAGAAATTAATGACAAGTCTATTTGTTCTTAATTTCTGCTAGCATTGTTATTGATAGTCTTTTAAAGTTTTGCCATACTTATGAGTATGAAATGATATTTTTATGGTTTTAATTTGTATTTCCATGGTTATGATAAGCAAGACTGCATATATTTATTGACTATTTGCTTACATTCTTTGTGGAAAATATATTCAGTATTTTCACATAAAAATAAAGCTTATTATTTAATTGTATATTAATGCATATTCATAAAACTATGCACTAATTTCCCTTAATTTTTGGTGTTTCTGTTTAGTTCTATTTATTAACTTTTAATCTTATTTTTCTTTTATATATCATAAGCTTGCAAAGCTATTTCCCATTATGGTTCTACAGTTTTTGTGTTTAGACATATGATTCATTACATATTATTCTTTCATGGGTGGAAGCAGGTTCATTTTTTTTTTTCACACAGATATATGGTTATTGTGACCCATGTCACTTTGGAATCAACTTGGTGCCTTAGTGGAAAACAGCTGACCATCTGTGTGGCTGTTTTGGAGTCTGCTGTTGCCTTTACCTGTTCTGGAGTAGCTCCACATTATCTTGATTACTGTAGCTCCCTAGTAAGCTTTTGGCATCAGGTTGTTTTTGTGATTTGAAATTGTTTATTCTAGATTCTGCATTTCCACATCAACTTTAGGAATGGTCTTATCAGTTTAGAAAACTAAACTCACTGACCAGTTAGTTGCTTGGGGTTGTGTTGATTTTATAGATATTTTTACAAGTTACATTTTGAGGTGTTCTGTTCTCCTTCCTTATTTCATTATGTAGCCCAGTAAGGGCATTGCAGGCATATGTTACCACAGCCCAGCTTGACACTGTTATTGCAAGGAACGGAAGCCCACTTGGAGTGTTTAGATGTGATACAGCTGCCAGATCGCCCACAGAGGTCACATGCATTTGCTACCTGCAATTTCTAAAGGAAGTGTGTGATTGCTCTTTGAAAAGTCCCCAACATTTTTTTTTAATGCTTTAGTGTTTTCATCTGTATTTTGGAAAATTCAGTACATGTAGCTAGGCATGGTGGTATATAGCTGTAATGTTAGAACTTGGGAGTCTGAGTCAGGAAGATTGTAAGTCTGAAACCAGACTGTGGTACAAAATAAAACCCTGCCTCTAAAAGAAACTTTTATACCTGTCTTCTTCAACATCTCTTAGCCTTGTGAAATTACTTCTTTAAAGACTTAGTTTGAGTGTTACATAAAAATTATTTTCCTTGAGAGATATGAAGACTATGTTTTTGTATTATCAGTTTTGTGACTCTTTCCTATATATAAAGAATAATAAATATTTGAGTAAATGAGAAGATACTTTTGAAATGAAAATATACTTTTGAAAAGTCTAAAAATTAAGTATACAGGAGTGAAGAAAATAGTTAAGATTTAAATGTTTTTTTTAATGTGTTTTTGAAATGTGTTTTTCCGCTTTTAAATAGAATCGCTGTATTAATTTCCCAGACTTTTTTGAGTACTCCTTTTTCTAATTGCAGTAACTTTAAATTGGGATGTCTAGGCTAACCAGTGTAGATTGTTTTATGACACACTCAGGACTTTTTTCCTTTGTTGTTTTTTTTTTTATTTTTATTTTTTATTTTTATTTATTTATTTATTTTTTTTGGTTTTTCGAGACAGGGTTTCTCTGTGTAGCTTTGCGCCTTTTCCTGGAACTCACTTGGTAGCCCAGGCTGGCCTCGAACTCACAGAGATCCTCCTGGCTCTGCCTCCCGAGTGCTGGGATTAAAGGCGTGCGCCACCACCACCCGGCTCCTTTGTTGTTTTAAAACAACCAGATCTCTGATTTTTAAGTTTTGTGTTTGTGGGGGACAGGGAGCTGCCTCGGGTGGAAAAGTAGCTCCTGCACAAGCATGGGGACCCGAGTTTGGATCCCAGTGCTCATGGAAGAAGGCGGGCATGATGATGTGTGCCTCTGTAAACTTGTCACTGGAAAGGGGCACAGGCAGGCGGGCCCTTGGAGCTTGCTGTCCTGCCAGCCTAGCCAGTGAACTCTAACTAGGTTAGTAAACCCCCCCCCCCCAAAAAAAAAAAAGAAAAGAAAAAAGGAAAAGAAAGAAGTGGAGAGTGATTAAGGAAAGACACCTGTGGTGACTTAAATACGAATGGCCCCCGTAGGCACATATATTTGAACACTTGTTCCCCAATTGGTGGTGCTGTTTGGAGAGGTTCCAGAATTCTTTGGAGGTCTAGCGTTGCTGGAGCAAGTGTGTCACTGGGGTAGGCTTACATTTTCAGTCTTACCCCGCTTACAATTTGCTTTCTCTGCTTGCTACTTGTATTGAAATATGATCTCTCAACTTCTGTGTGAGCCACCTGATGTCTTGCCTTCCTTGCCACTGTGGCCAAAATAAACTCTTCTATAAGCTGATTTTGATTATGATGTTTTAGCAAAGCGACAAAAGCTGGTAAAATACCTGATTGCTACCTCTGGCCTTCATACATACATGTACATACGTGTGTCCACATGCTCATGGTCATATAAACATCTATACACATGCACCACACATGGACACACAAATACACATTTTTTTTAAAAAGTTGAATTTGTTTTTTGTGGTGTTTGGTCTTAAAGTATAGACATACAAAGTAATGGTAGATTTAAGAGTCTACTGTGCTTTGATTTTAGGGACCTCAACAGGTAACCTAAGCTTTTGTCATTCACTTTCCTAAATATGCGTGTTATCTTTGTTGACAGTTTTCTCTTTGTAATGTTACAGCTCTCTATCAACATCAGCTTGTATCACCGAGAAGATAATTTTGAAGACATACTTTGCTGAGAAGACAACTGTGAAGAGTTGTCCGAATGGGATGAACACGCATCAGTTGACTGTCTATCCGCTGAAGTCTGAATGCTAACGTTGCTCATCGGGTACTGTTACCTAGTGATGCACCTACTCTTACAGTACCCCATTTCATTGTGCTCGTCTTGATTAAAGAATTCAAAGTGGAGTACCGCAAACTTGATATGGATAGTAAAAAGAAAGACAAGGACAAATCAGATGATAGAATGGCACGACCCAGTGGTCGATCAGGGCACAGCACTCGAGGAACTGGGTCTTCGTCATCTGGAGTTTTAATGGTTGGACCTAACTTTAGAGTTGGGAAAAAAATTGGATGTGGCAATTTTGGAGAATTACGATTAGGTAAGATTGTTTCTTTATTACATAATGTGAAGAGCATTTTTTAACCAAATATACTTGTAAAGCTACTTTCTTGTTTTAGTTGTTAAGTTCTTCCAGTGTACACATTGGGGGCTTTAGTTGACCATGGTTTCTCAAAGTGCTGGTTATAAAGAATGCAGATGTTGGAAATTTCTTAGTTATTTGTGCTTTGATTTGTAAGGAATTCCCTAGTATCTAGATGTCTATTTGTTTGAGATTATTCTTATTTCTTAAGAATGTGAGAAAACAAGAAAAAGTAAATTTAAAAGGCCATGGCCTGTGGCACTTGCTCTTTCAGAGCACCCAGGTTTGATTCCTAGTACCATGTGGCAGCTGACAACCACTTGTAACTCCAGTTTAAAGGGATCCTGTGCCTTCTGACCTTTCTGAGCGTCAGGCTCAAGTGCATAGTACACAGACGTATGTACGTATGTACATATGTATGTATGTACATATGTATGAATGTATGCATGTATATGCAGGCAAAACACCCATACAAAGGCCATAGCTTCCAGGAAGTCTGTTGTATAGTGTATTTTGGGTGGATATTTAGGTTCCATTTTTATATTTCAAAACATTTAGTAACTGATCACTTTAGAATCATATATGTGGCTTAAAGTCAAAAGTTAAGATACTATGTAAAATTAACTTTTACTTATTATAATAGCTTCTTTCTCTGCACCATTCTCCTCTTTCCTTTGCCCTACTGTGCCTAGGCTAAGATTCAGGGTCATTTCTTTAACAAGGATCTCAAGTATCTGTAACAGTGTGGGAAATGCTGGGCTTCCTGAAGCTCCTAACTGTCCACTTCAGGAACCTGAGGCTCCACAGGGAAGGCACTTGCTGAATGCCATAGAGCGGTTCAGTGACAGATAGAGATGTGAGATTTCAGTCTTCTTAGTCCTAGTGGAGTAGAGACTCTGTCTCCATTGAAAAGAAACATGGAATGTGGCATGGTGTCACAGGAATCAGTATTAAGGTACATTAAGGCTTGCATCACTAGACCAAGACTGTAAACTTGAGGGGAGAAAAAGACTTCACAGTTTTCACTGGGTCCCATCAGTTGTTTAACATAGAATGATTTGTATGTTTCTACTGAGCTATCTCTTATCATCTTGTAAAACACCCTGCTTGTAGTGTCTCTTCTATTTCATTTGTTTTGTGTTGCTAATGTACATTAAATATGAATGAATGAAGAAGCAAGCTAATAAAAGCTAGTGACATTCTTTGTACATAGCTATAAATGATGTAGTTGGCAAATTTCTTTGCATTTAGTAGGGACTAAAATGTTTGAAAGGACAAATATTTAATGGCCTATTTTTCCAAGATAGTATTCTTACTTGGGAGTTAGAGAAACTAGATTATTTACTTTCTGTCAAATTTTTAGATCATCCAATTCTTAACATTGATCATATACTGAAAAAGTTCATGAATCACTTTCTAGGCTATTATAAATATTAAATTTAAAGTATAATATAAAGGACTAACACAATATCTGTATAGGCTTTGATTGTTTTTATTACAGTTTTCCACATAATTTAGAAATAACTATTCTTAAATATACACTCTGTGTGTGTATATATTCATAAAGAACAAATCTAGTGGGCCAACTTAACCAGAACAATATGAGACATAGTGTCTCATGAACTTATAATGTATATTGTGGAGCATTCCTTTCTTTACATTTGTGAGTGAGCAAAAATAAAAACGATGTGCAGGTTTAGTATCTCTAATCTTATTCAATCAAGTGATTATGTAGAATCTAAGTGTGTTGTATTTATGTGTAAAATACTTATGTATTTATTTAAATATATTAAATATATGTGTATCTTAAAGTCAAGTTAGTGTACTATAATAACATATGAGACTTTTCCTGCAAAGACATGATTCTATCAAAATCAAGCTTGGTAAACCAATGAGTTTACGGACGTTAATTTCAGTAGTCTACGTGAGAGGCCGGTATGCCTCAAAGGCAGCTGCCTCACTAAAAAGCCCACCCTGTATGGGTGCCAGCTCAGGAAAAGTTGCACTTCTGGAGATCTGCCTGACTTACAGACAGCTTGACAGGTGGGGAGAGTGTCCTTTTCACAACCCCATGGGTGGAAGAGCCTTTTCTTTAAGCAGCTGTTTATTGCTTCCATAAACTTAACCTTGGGGAGAGGCCTTGTGAATCTTTGGAAGCTTCAGCTCTCTAGGGTTTAGAAGATCATTTACTTCCTGAGCTTCATGCTTCATTCCCCTCCCCAGGAGGGAGTGTTTCCATATCCAGCAAATAAATACCTCTTCTCTTTCTATACATGTCATTGTTTTATGGATATCTAAGTATTTTACATATATGCACTAATATCCATATACATAAACATACAGAGCTAAGTTAGTCATTTTAATTTTTCTTATTCAGAGACTACTGAGGGGTCTCTTTCTTTTCGAAGCCCTCCGTGGTTTCTTTGTTTAGAAAAGTTATTATAAGCATTACTTTTTAAAAGTTAGTTTGGATTCTTTCTAAATTTTTTTAAATTAATCTTTATTTTATTCTATGTGTGTGGGTATTTTTCCTGCATATGTATGTGAGTACCATGTGCACAGTACTTTTAGTGCTTACAGAGGCTAGAAGAGGGTGTCAGATCCTGAGACTAGAGTTACAGATGGTTGTGAGCTGCCATATGAGTGCTGGGAATTGAACCTGGGTTCTCTGGAAGAGCAATCAGTGCTCTTGACTGCTGAGCCATCTCTCCAATCCTGCTTTGGATCTTTAAAGTATTTTTATTAAAGTCATATTAATAAAAACATCCCGAACATTTGATTTTCTATACTAATGTGTGTGTGTGTGTGTGTGTGTGTGTGTGTGTGTGTGTGTGGCATTTGAGCAAGAAAGAATATGAGGTTTACCTTTCATAGGTAAGTGCTTTTTAGCAAAGATGCTTATTTTCAACAAGGATGCTCAGTTTTAGGCTGGACAGTTTTTTGTTTTTGTAGAAAGCAGTCTCTTATATTGTAGGGCACATTAAATACTTGAGACCTCTTTGATACCCTGCTATTGTAACCTTACATAGAACTCAAGGAAACCCCAGCCCCACCCCATGTGTAGTTGCCCCAAGGAGATACAATGCTGTCCCCTGCTGGAAACTGTTCTTACAGGTTATTAGTTTTTCAAAAAAGGACTGAGATTAAAAACCAAACAAGCTTGTAAACATTATTTAAATTTTATTTAAATCAACATGTTAGACATTTTTATTTTAAATAATAGGTTGATTTATTTGTTGTTTTCTTTTATCTTCATGGGTTGGCAGTAAAACTTGAGTTTTTTGACTGTTGGTAGATAGATTTCAAGTTTAAACAACAATTCAGGATCCCTAGAACTATTTTTGAAACATACCACATACTTCAACCATAGCTAGCCAAAATAATAGGATTATATTGTGTATTTAAAGCATTTTTTGTATGTTATGATCTTTGGACATCTTTTAAAAATCATTACAATTCTTTAACAATTTCATGCATATATGTGATGGATTTTGATCCCCACACACCTCTTAGGTCCTTTCCAAGTGCCTCTGTACTCTTCCCAGCAGTCTCCCTCCTACTGTCAGGTTTTGACTTTTAGAACATGCCCCTACTGAGTTTAATTAGGACCGCCTTGCCTTGCCTGTGTCTGTGTGGGGAGATCATCACCAGAGCACGACCAACTTAGTGGTGGATACAGCTCACTGAAGAAAGTTACTTTTCCTTATCCTAGACTGCTAGGGTGGCACCTCAGGAGCCCCTCCCATCATGCGCTAATGTTGATGGCTGCAGTCTTGTGCAGGTCTTGTGAAGACAACCTCAGGTGCTGGGAGGTTATGAGTGGAGTAGTCATGTCATTAGAAAACAGCATTTCATAGCACTTTTCCCAGTTATGAGGCTCTTGGTTCCTTCTGCCCCTCTTCCTCCATGTTCTCTGAGCCTTAAGACTTGGGGGAGTCATACTCAGCAGTGACTGATTTCACTTGTTTCAGCCACTGACTTTACTTACAGCAAGCTCACTGCAACATTAAGCTTCTCTGAACTAATTTTTGATACCAGCACCAATTTATTGAATGAATTAGGCTAAATTGAAAGATGAGGTACGTCAGATCCCTCTGGCGCTAGCAGTCTTTACTTGGTGTTGTATAGAGGAGGGGCAGGCGAGAGCCCTGTGTCTAACAATCCAAGAGTTTCTATAGCCTCAGTGTCTGGTGAGGTTGTTTTCTCTTGAAGTAAAAGCTTATTGTGCATTGTCTTGGCTTTTATTTTATCAAGTGTCAGTGCCGAGGCTTCTTCTTCCTCACCACCCTCTATTTTGTGTGGGTGTTTTGCCTGTATGTATGTCTGTGCACCATGTATGTGCAGTCCTGTGGTGGTTAGAAGAGGGTGTTCAATCTACTGGATTGGAGTAATAGATGGTTGTAAGCTGCCGTGTGGGTGCTGGGAGTTGAACTCAAGTCCTCTGAAATACCCAGAAGACTTCTTTGGACATCTTAAACAAACAAACAAACAAAAGCAAAAAACCATTTTGTTTGGGGAGAACCTGTGCCTCCTAGAGTTGATCAGTTCTTAGGAAAAGAGCAATTACCAGAGACTTAGTAGGGGCATGCCTTGTGTATGGGAATTATCCAGTCTCCAGCTTTACTGTCTTTATCCGCCTATAAGTCCAAGGACAGTATTCTGTGCTGTGCTATTAGAGACCAGCCCTCCACCCAAAGGTCATTGGAACTATGGAGAAACATCAGTCCAAATCTGTTTACCTTGTCCTGTCTTCCCCCAAACTCTATAATAAAGGCCTTTGCGTCAGCTTTCCTTACCTTCTTTTTTTTTTTTTTTTTGAGACAGGGTTTCTCTGTGTAGCTTTGCGCCTTTCCTGGAGCTGACTTGGTAGCCCAGGCTGGCCTCGAACTCACAGAGATCCACCTGACTCTGCCTCCTGAGTGCTGAGATTAAAGGCGTGCGCCACCAACGCCCGGCTTTCCTTACCTTCTTGTCTTCTGCCACTAACTCAAACAGGGTGCTTCTGCAGTCCTTCATGGCAGTGGTTCTCAACCTTCCTAACTAACGCTGCAGTGTTTACTATAGTTCTGCATAAATTTATTTCCGTTACTACTTCATATCTGTAATTTTTCTACTGTTACGAATTGTAATATAAATATCTGTGTTTTCCAGTGGTCTTAGGTGACCCCATGAAAGGATTGTTTAACCACTCCCAAAGAGATCACGACCCACAGGTTGAGAGTGGCTACTCTCTGGCTTTCTGTGTGATGCTTTCAGACTTGTGAATATAATTCATTTTAGTTTCCCGAGTTTCTCTTCTGTTTCCTTTTGGCTGTGTCTGATTGGCATTACATTAAAACAAAAGTCAGAAATAACTTCATGAATTACCATATCTGAAATAAGATACAGTACCTTTCGACATAAGTTTCCACAGGAGTTTATAACTTCTCTTATTTTTGTTTTTTTCCTCTTATTTCTGAATGGCTCACAACTCCTTATTTTGATGTTTGTTCTTGAAAATTACAGTGTTGAAAGTTCCATAAGCCTTATTCTCCATTATGTAAAGATTTGGGTAAATTCATCATTTTTATGTTTATTGACTTTTCTTCTGCAAAAAATTTCCGAAACACTTGAAAATGTAAAATTAAAGAGTAGATGATGGGGCTGGCAAGATGGCTTAGTGCACAAAGGCACTTGTCACCAAGCCCGATGACCTAAGTCTAATCCTTGGTATCCACATGACGACAAGTCAGACTAACTTCTGCAAATTATCCTCTGACCACTACATGTACTCCATGGAACATGCATGCCTGCCCCCGCCCCCTCCCATAAAGAAATAAATGTAAAAATTTAAAAATTGACAGTGATGCTATGACAATGAATTTAAAAATCCCCAAATACAGTTTTTTAAAATCAAATTATTTTGTTTTCTTCACAAAACCCAGACCAGAGGGAGAACACTCGGGGTATCTGTATCCTGTATGTTCAGTGTGGGGCTTTAGTGTCTGTACTGTGATCTTACTAGCTGCTACTCCTTTCCAGTAGCCAAACAGAAGAAGGAAGAAGATTCCGGGACATATTACATTCCTGGAAATTGGAGGTGTTGTACTTCATGTCCACTGGTGTGAAGTTAATTACTTGGCCACACTAAGCTGAAAAAGAGCCTGGAAAACGTAGCTTGTAGCTAGCTGGAAAACTATTTTTAAACTTGAACATTCTTTATTATTGGAAGTGCAGAGTTAATACTGATGTCCCTGCTATAAACATACATGTAACATTTGAAGGACATAGTTTTCTGTAATAACTCCAATTCCACAATATTGGTAAAACTTCTTTGGGTTCAGTGTAGCAGAAAACGGTACTGGAAATGTCACTTGAAATAGATTAAGATATCAATGAACTCGGCCCAGGCCACTTAGAGCCTTAATGGAATTCTCTATATCCACTCTGTCTTACTCATACCACAAAGACAGACACACTTTGTACACCATTCACTTTTGTGTGTAACACATATTGATTAAAATCTAACTGTAGGACTATGGCTGTACTCAGTGACAAGACTGTGTATTATTTAATCATCATTCATATTTATGATTGTAATCCTCACCATTCAGCCAGATCTCTAATATTAACAAAGATGATGCTTTTTAAGATTCAACTTTTTTTTCTTTGTTTCTTTCTTTCTTTTTTTGCTGTGACATGAAAGATTAGACTATGAAAGCCAGCAAAAATGCTGGTGTGTTTTGGTTCTGTGGAATCTATTATATTTAATAGTTCAGAATAAAATTGTATAGTTATGAAGAGAATATAATGCTCTGAAGAAACATAATTTTTTCATTTTTGATTCAATTGTGACTAGGATACCAGTCTAAAATGGTTACTAACACTCTTCACTTAGATTTGCTAGAGGACACCTACATTTTAATACATAATGAGTTTCTAAAAAGCTGCATGAAAACATCTCTAAATGTGAAACTAGTTTCTTAAAAATATAAAACATTCTCTAAAATTTGAAAAATATTTATGTAGGCTTATTTAGTTTCAGAATGAAACTTGATCTGTACCACTTGGTATTTCTATTGGGTTAAATGTTTCAAATATGTTGAGTTTATGAGATTGATGCTACCCAACATTAATATAACTATTTTTCCCCTTTACACATTTTTATGCAGTAAGGACATTATTTAGACTACATCATGAATATTCTGCTCTGTAAAGATGTAGCACTTCTGAAGCTGAAATTAGGAGCTTCCTGAAAGGTTAAGGGGCACTGTGCAGAAAAATGCCAAGCATGAAAATTGATAACCTGCCTGTTTTGTGTTTAGTAGTCACTGTAACCAGAGCCACTTTTTCAGTTTAAAACCAAACAAACAAGTCATTCTGTTTTTGTTACAATAGTCACTCACGCTAATTGAAAAACTACTGGAAATAAAGAAATAACGTGTGCTATTTTTATTTCATTCTTTTTTTTTTTTTTTTTTTTTTGTTTTTTTGAGACAGGGTTTCTCTGTGTAGCTTTGCACCTTTCATGGAACTCACTCGATAGCCCAGGCTGGCCTCGAACTCACAGAGATCCGCCTGGCTCTGCCTCCCGAGTGCTGGGATTAAAGGCGTGCGCCACCACCGCACAGCTTTATTTCATTCTTTGCGATGTACTTGTAAAGATACATGTTAATTTATATTTCAGATTGTCCTTCTGTGCTTATTGACTCTCAAATTCTTCATAGTGTTTTTTTTTCCCGGGGCTGCAGATGCTGACCACTGGAATTTTTTTAGCTTATATCTAACACAAAGATAATTGTAGTTTATTTAAATTCTTTGCATGTTAGTGATGTTAATCCTGTATTCTGATTTGTCATTTACATACCTTTGTACTTAACAAAATTTTCAGTATTTAGAAGTTTAAAGTATTTCATATAACCAAATATGCATAAAATCCTGTTCTTCATGTTTTCTTATCCCTAGAAAGGTCTCCATATATTGAGATAAGTATTTTTTGTTTCATTTTTTAATATTTAACTCTAAATAATTTGAGACATTAGTAATTCTCTTCTAAAAGTAGTTATTGAGGTTTTTTTTTAGCCAATTATTGATTAGTTTTCTTACTTAATTATGTTTTAGACATATTCCAGAGTTTTTATATATCTGGATTTTTTTTTATATACTGGATTAAATATGTGGCATAATAATACTGTATTCCATAATGGTTTAAAAGGAAATGGTGGATGGGGAGAATCTTCTTTCATAAAGATATTCTGGCTTAAAATGGATTCAGTATTCACTTGAATATTGGTTATTTTCTAAGTTGCATGCAATATAACAACAGTCAGAATATTTTCCTTATTATAATTGGATAATGTATTTATTAGTACCGATTTCTACTTGGAATCTAAGTGAATATTAAATGCATTATCGAGTTGATAGCAATTTCCTTTTTTCCAGAGTTGGAAGTAAAAGCGTTTGCTCTATTTAAATGTCTTACATACTTTTTTTTTTTGTAAAAACAGTACAGGTCATGAAAGTTATGTAAGTTAAATTTAAAAATATTAGCAGGATCTGACTTTTTTCTTCCTTTTTCAAGGTAAAAATTTATACACAAATGAATATGTGGCGATTAAACTGGTAAGTTCATGATTTTTATTCTACAATTATTTCCTTTAATTATTGGCTTATTAATTTTTCATCTTTACATTTTATAACTTGGGTGTTCATCTAAAAAGAAAAATGCTTGCATGACTGACCTTTTATTCTTGTCTCCGAAGCATATTATGATGTATAGAGTCTCAGCGTTTTCTCTGCCATGAAAACTCTGTCCTTACTTTGGCAGCATCATGGAAGTGAAATTTTGAAGTTTGGCAGTGTTTTTAGTTTAGAAAGGTATTTTTAAGTGGATAAAAGCAAAAATTTTCTTTCTGATTTAAACATTTAGACAAAATAACTATGTCTTTAGCATTTCGGATCGTATTTGAACGCATACTTCCAATTATCTTCTAATGTTTTTTCTACTGGTGTTTTGTCAGTCTGGTAAAGCTGGTTGTTGATGACTTTCAGGGATTCAGAAAGCCATGAGTGTGGGTAGTAGTAAGGAGAGCAGTTATGGGAGTAAAATTTCATGTGCTCAGTGTGACAGGTACAAAATAGTTCCCTTCTGGAAGAATTTGTACCCAGGGACTGCTTTTATTCATTTATTTTATCATTCATTCATTCATCTATTATTTATTTGGGCAGAATCTCTAGTTAGATCGGGCTGTTTTAGAACTCATTATGTAGACCAGGCTGGCCTTGAACTCCCAGAGATCCACCAGCTTCTGCTTCTCCAGTGCTGGGATTAAAGGCGTGCTAGGAATGATTTGTATAAGGCCTATTTTCTCTTTGTGAGTGACAGGCAGGTTTCCCTGAGGTCCAGGTTGGCCTGGTCTTGTCATTCTCTTTGCCCTTGTCACCCTTGTCCTGACAGTGTGACTGTGTCATTAGGACGATGTGAGTCAGACTGTCAGAGGAAGAGGCAGGGGAAGGAATCCAAGGAAAAAGAAAGCCAGCTTATGAGCTGCGGTGGAAAGTCCCTGCTGCTCCAAGTGTCGTTGTTACGCTAAGCACCAGGCTGTGGCCCCACGGGACACATGGGACCCACACTTGACTTGTACAGTCTCTGGTTAGCTTATGGCAGGATTGCCACTGCTGTTTTTAATTGGATTTGTGGCTATCAGTTATGAGATCAGTTAATATAATCAAGCTCTCAGTGATGGCAAAGTTGAGAAAAATCATTTCTAATTTTTTATGAGAATTTTTTACTATTAAGGTCAGGTGCCCAAATTAGTATAAATGTTTTATTTAAAATATATTTAAAGTTTGTTCTTTATCCATGTTATAAATGTAGACAGTGTATCTTGATCATACCTGTTTTCTCCTTCTCCCCTTTCTCCACTTCTTCTAGTATGACCCCCTCCCACCTTATGTCCCTTAAGAAACAAAAACCAAAGGTCACTGAGTCCCATTAGTGCTGCCTGTATTCTTGTGAGTGTTGGGCCATCCCCTGGAGCGTGGTCAACCTGTCACCCCCACCCACCCTGTTCACTTTCCCTTCTCCAGCAGCCATCAGCTGTCAGCTGTGCAGAATGCTTTATGCATCCCTGCCCCCATCCGTGCTGGGACATTGTCGATGGGCTTAGTCTTGTTCAGCACCTCAGCTGTTCTCAGTTCATGGGTGCAGTGGCCGTGTCATGCCAGAAGACAGAGGTTACAGCGCTCCTTCCACTCCTCCGACATTGGCATTCTTTCTGTCCCTCTTCAGGAAGGTTATATTCCTTGAGGGCTTAAGGAATAAGGTGGGGAATATGAGAGGACTGATATAGTTGTCCCATTTTGGGCTGAGTAGTCAGTAGTCACTTGTTCTCAGCACTTTGACCAGTTATGCATTAGGTAATTTTAAAGGGCTACATAGAAAGCCAATTTCAGCAGACAGGACTCAGTGTATAGGAATCACAGCAGAGAGACTGAGCCTACAGGAACTGTACAGTATTTAATGGGCATTCTGATTTTGTGTGGAATTGTTCTTTTTTTTTCACGTTCTAGCCCATTGTATGGCATTGGAACCTCCAGGATAGAAATGTGTGGTGTTCTGAGCTAGTGATGAAGCGGCCATAATTAACAGCTGTGTGCAGAGGAGACAGGAGCCGCTGCCAGGCTGCCTACTCCCTGGGTCTGGTTAATTCATCAGGTGTGACCCTCCGGTCCTGTTATTTTCAGACTTGGAACTTGTCCGTCCTGTTCCTTCCACTGGTGCCTTAGAAACTGCCAACGTGTCATCTTCTAGTCTCTCTGTACATGTCCGTGTAGCCCTTTCATTTCAGTTCGTTTTGTCTACTTCTCTTTTCTGCCCTTTTCTGGGGAGGTGTGGGGGCAGGGCTCCCTTCCTTTACTCTGACTATCGTTTTAGGCAGGGTTTTTTTTCTAGCCCAGGCTGGCCTTGATCTTGCTGTGCAGCTGAGAATGACCTTGAACTCAGGATCTACTTCTGCCACTTTTCCAGTGCTAGGATTACAGGTGTGCACCTTCACACTCAGCCTGTTGGTCTTTTTATAAGTGCAGTGGTCAGCATTACATACAAAAATTATAACTACTCATAATTTAGGGTAACTGGGAACGTTTTTACTTTCGTGTTGTGAGAGAAGTATGGCCTGTAGTCACATTCTCCCTAAATTTATTGGAAAGTCAGAAGAATGGGTTATTGCTGTTGAAGTACAGGAATCAAGTTGAAATTATTAAAATAAGTAAGGACCATTTCCCTTTTTACCTGGAGGACAACAGTGATTAAGGTGTATATTTAATTTCAGTTGTGATGGTGAAAGTGGATATTATTTCACATCTTAAGGTTGTATATTTTTAGACAGTTAATCAAAATTTATGGATAATGGGGTGTTATATGGAAGGTACTACTTTCACTATTTTATATGTTACATTTTATATTATACACATAGACATCCATGCATATATAGAGGGAGGGAGGGAGAGAGGGGATCATAAAAAGTTTTAACTATTTTACAGATGAGGAACTGCAACATACATCAAAGTTAACTAACTTTCCAAACCACACAGCTAGTGAAGTAGGAAATCGAGGGTTTAAACCTTGTATAATTTGGTTTCAATCTCCATGCTTTTAACTACTACTCTGTATTGCCCCTCAAGATTTAAGCTTACCATTTTCTATGAATAATCCTTATGATTCTAAGTCTGTAGTGCACTTTATATATATTTATATATACCTCCTTGGGCTTCTCATTCTTGATTTTTTTTTTTTTTTTTTTTTGCTTGTGACCATTGCTGCCCACTTTCCCATCACTGCCTATTAGACCTTCTCACTGTATTGTTCAGATCTCTAATGATGTGGCTCCTACTTTCCCCTCATAATGCATCGACATAGTCTTTCTGTTAACCTTTTACTTCCCTCAGTCTTTTTATTCTTTTGTTGTGTTTATTTTTTGTTGCAGAAAACTATGCTTTTAATTTAATTATTTTTTTTAAACCTTGTTGGTTCTTATGATAGCTGCTCAAATACTTATATATGTCTACAGATGGTATCAGATTTTTTTATATAGATCTAGAGGAATAGAGATACCTAGTAGAATATTATAGTGTATATGAGTTGATACTACACTTTAAAACATTTGGAGTTAGAACCTAGTGATTGTCTTTTAACTGAAATGTCTTTTGTTTTTCATTTGTTTGCCTAGGAGCCCATGAAATCCAGAGCACCACAGCTGCATTTGGAATACAGATTCTATAAGCAGTTAGGATCTGGAGGTAAGTTATATAAATTTTAAAATTTGGAGTAACACAGACTGTCATAACAATAATTCTTTAGTTTCAAAAATAATATCTTAAATTTGATTACAGAGACTTCTTTTTTTAAAAAATGTTCTTTATTGGGGTTGAAGAGATGCTTCAGTGGCTAAGAGTACTTCCTGCTCTTTTAGTACACGAGAGTTCCTAGTAGGGCATCCAGCTGTAGTTCCCACTTCAGAAGATGGTGTGCATTGTGGTGCACTTGTGGAAGATAGGGGATGGTGTGTAGGAGTTGGTGCTCTCTCTCCACCTTGTGTGTCTTGGGAACTAAACCCAGGTTGTTAGGTTTGTTGGCAAATACCTTCGCTGCTGAGCATCCATATTGTTAGCCTTTATAGCAATATTACTGTTGTTATGATGGATATAAAAGTGGTTCCATAAATATATCCACATGGAGATCCCTGGAACATGTAGTTAGCATATAGCAGTCATTTGAGATTGCAAGATTATCCTGTATGTTGTCTAGGTAAGCCTAAATGCAACCACAAGTGTCTTTACTAGAAAAGTAGAGACATTTGACACACACAGAGAAGAGGAAGACTGTATGCCCATGGGGGCATTGATTGGAGTGATCTGAATGAACTAAAGAATACCTGCAGCTCTAAGATCCTGAAGGAGGCTCCTGGGTTTTCTCCTAGAGCCTGTAAAGAGACCATAGCTCAGCCTTGATTCAGCCTCATGAAACTGATTTGAGACACTGGCTTCTAAGGTGTAATGCAATTAGTTTTTGTTATTTTAAGGCATCAAATTTGTAGTAATTTCTTAACAGTAGGTAATGCAAGTATATTTATGAAGTTCTTAAATCTTAATGGGAATAGAGATTTTGCTATTGGCAAATACTTATGGTTAAAATTTCTACTATGTGTTACATTGTCTTCACATTGAAGCTTTCAAGTGCCACTTTTGTTTATTCCTATTCTTCTAATTGTAATGATATTACTTGTATAGTTGTTCTGTAGTAGGGTATATTGTTTCCCTAGATTTAATAAAATAATTTCTTGATGTGTATTTCTGTATGCATGTTTGCATTCTAGTTGATAGAGCTGTTTCTTCATATGATACAGAGTTTTCATTTTCTCCCACTAAGAGCATATGCAAATAAGTAGTCCTTGCAGTGTTAGTAAACTTGAACATTTGTATTAATGAATATATTGTAGATTTTTTATGTAGTGTCCTTCTCTGTTTCTTCTGACTAGTTTTGAAGTCTCTTTTGCCAGATATTAAATAACTATGTCTACTTAAGTTATTTAATATCTGGCAAAAGAGACTTCAAAACTAGTCAGAAGAAACAGAGAAGGACACTACATCTGCTTGCTTCTTTGATCCATTTGCTTAGAATACCCTTTTCTATACTTTACACTGAGGTGATGTCTATCCTTGATGTTAAGGTGTGTTTCTTGGAGGCAGAAAAAAAATGGATCCTACTTTCAAATCCAATCTGTTAGTCTGTGTCTTTTCCTTGGAGAATTGTGGGTTAGTTATTAATGAGTAGTATTTATTAATTCCTGTTATTTTGTTGTGGTAGTGTGTGTTTTTCTACCCCTCTTTTGATGAACTGTTCTGGGATTATTTGTTTTTTTGTCCTCTTGGGTATAGTTCTTCAGACTTCTTCAGACCATCACTTTAGACTGAGTGCTTTCTGTGGAACTGAAGTGCTGGGCAGAAATTGCTTAAATTTGTTCTTATTGTGAAATGTTTTCCTTATTCTGTTGATGGTGATTGATAGTTTTGCTGGGTATAGTAGTCTGGGCTGGCACCTGTGGTCTTTTAGAGCTTGTAGAAACATCTATCAGTTCAGGCCCTTCTGGCTTTCAGAGTCTACATTGAAAAGTCAGGTGTTATTCTCATGAGCCTGCCTTTATATGTAACTTCATCTTTCCCCCTTACAACTTTTAATACCATTTCTTTGTTTTGTACATTTAGTGTTTTGATTATTATATGTTTCATTTCTGATCATGTCTGTTTGGTGTTCTGTATGCCTCTTACACCCTTGATAGGCATCCCTTTCTTCAGATTGGGGGAATTTTCTTAAATGATTTTGTTAAAAATATTTTCTGTGCATTTGACATGGTTATTTTTTTCTTTCTTTCTTTTCTTTTCTTCTTCTTTTTTTTTCTTTCCTCCTTCCTCTATACTTATTACTCGTAGGTTTGGTGTTTTACAGTGTCCCAGATTTCCTGGATGTTTTCTGCCTTTTTTTTTTTTTTTTTTTTTTTTTTTAAGATTTAACATTTTCTTTGAGAATGTCTTCAAGATCAGAAATTCTCTCTTCCTTGTCTTAATCTGTTGGTGAGGCTTATCTCTGGGGTTTCTGTTTGACTTCTTGAGTTTTTCATTTCCAATTTTATTTCAGTTTGGGTTTTCTTTAGTGGTTTTATTTCTTTGTTGAAATTTATTGTTATGTCTTGAATTGTTTTCATTATTCCATTCAATTCTTTGTGTTTTCATGGTCTTCATTAAGGTGTCTATTCATATCCTCTTTAATGTCCTTGGTTGGGCATATTCTTTTTCTTTCTACTGGTCATTTTCTAGTTGTTTTAAGCTTACTAATTGTTACTTGTATGAAGCTATTATTTTCAGATCTGTGTTCTTGCACATGTAATGGCCTTTCCCAGTGAATGCTCTGGTAAAGCCCCAGCTAACTGTACCTGCTTTGCAGCACATTTCTTGCCACCACTTGGCTCCTCTAGAAGAGAGACTTCTGTGTGCTGTCATGTCATTACTTTATAACTTTGAATATTTTTAGTATTCCTATGGGGAACATTGTTTTTCAAGTGAGTGACTTGACTTTTGAGGTTCTGTGCAGATCTACACTAATTTGGTGGTAGCAATAGTGGCTGTTACTAAAATTATAACTTCACAGTATTGTCTTCTAAGAAGTTAGGGAACCTCCCTTCTTTCTTCCTGCTGCCCCCTCTGCCTTCCCAATTTGTGCTTTATGAAAAAGTCATGATTTCTGTATTCTTTACATGTTTCCATCTGGTTGTCAACACTTCTATGTATACCGTCTTTTAAAAACTCTCTAGGTCTGTCTGCTGTAAAATGAATATAGAGGATTCTATAATGTATAGCATTATACTTATTAATTATACTTTTTCTGAAGAATTTTGGTTGTTGTATAAGCCCTGTAAATATCAGTGATATCTAGAATTCATCTTTTTTACAGAGTTACCTGATCATGCTTTTCAGAATCATGTTTTAACAAGCTTAAGAAATTATCCAGGTATATTAACACATGCCTGTGACCACCACTTAGAAGTCTGAGGCTGGAGGGTCACGAGGTTGACCTCATCCTAGACAACATAGGAGACCTGTTCACAAAACAACAAGAAGAAGAAATGCTAAGAAAATCTGCTTTCTCTGTTCTCTCTTCCACATGGTACCACTGTAGTGAGAGGACTGAGAGTACCAAGAAGTCTCTCAAGGTGGCACAGCCCAGACATGGGGGCTGGGGCTCCTGTTATGCCTTTAAGGCTTTTGAGAATCTCAGAGACCTTCTGTTGTGGATTGGATTGACTGATGTAGCCCGTAACAGAAATTCAAGGAAATAGGAAAAGTTCCCAAATGGTCATTTAAAATAACATTCCAAACATTTAAAAAATCAAATTGAACTTTCCTTTTCAATATAAGCGAACAAGAAGAGTGTTGCTGCTTTGTTTTGCAAACATTTCAAATTTCCAGTGTAATAGAAAACAGTCATCTTCAGTCCATCATGATGGCACATATCTTGCCATCTCAGGAAAACTTACTATGAACTAACTTGTTAGAAAACAAGAATTGAAAGGTAAATTAAATCCCCATGTTTTATTAAGTAATTCTAATATTGATTACCCCCTGAAATGGTCTCACATACCACTGTTGCTTTTAGACCTCATATTGTGTCAGCTTTGATTGGTTATTTAAATTATGTATACACTTTTGATATTGTGTTAGTTATTTTTCTCATTGTGGAGGAAACAGACCAGAGATTGATATAGCCCTAAAACCTGACACTAGTGTCCTCTATCCCCCTCTGGACTGAATCCCAAAGTTCCTGCTTCTTTAGGAAGAAACTTCCTAAAACAGCATCTCTGGCTAGGGAGTGACTGTTCAAATACACTTGGTGTGTATATGGTGGAGGGCATTTTACATTCAAACCAGGCACTATACCAAAGCGTGAAAAGTGGTGGTTTCTTAAAGTTTAGTTGCAGTATAAAGTTAGAAGCTTTCACCCTGAGTCTGTATGTTAAAATCAATTATCCAGGCAGGATTTTGCATCTACATGAAGCCTTGATCTCTTGGAAGATATTGTTTCATTGACATGCATATATTTCAAATACTGATGTTTCATTGTGTTGCTAGAGTTTTCCTGGCTGGCCCACAGTCAGGACAAATCTCTCTCACCCGCCAGTCCCGCATCCGCTCAGACCCAACCAAGTAAACACACAGAGACTTATATTGCTTACAAACTGTATGGCCATGGCAGGCTTCTTGCTAACTGTTCTTATATCTTAAATTAACCCATTTCTATTAGCCTATAAGTTGCCACGAGGCTCGTGGCTTACCTGTACCTTACATCTCACTTGTCATGGTGGCAACTGGCAGTGTCTCTTTGCCTCAGCCTTTTACTTCCCAGAATTCTCCTCTCTCCTTGTCCCAGCTATACTTCCTGCCTGGCTACTGGCCAATCAGTGGTTTATTTATACAGAGTGATATTCACAGCACATTGTCCAAATTGGACCATAATAGATAGTAACACAAAATTTTGTTAGAATATTCACATTTTTTTTTTTTTTTAAGATTTAACTCTTAATTTGTTCTTTGTCGTGCATCTGGATCCCATTTATCTCCTGGCCCCTTCACATCTGTTCTCTGTCCCTGCAACCTCCCCTCTCCCCAAAACAAAACAAAACAAAATTTAAGAGAAAAGAAAAAAAAATCATCTCAACTTGGAAGCTGCAGTGTGACCCAGTGAGTCACAGAGTGTACCTTCCAGTCCACACATCTCTACTTGCAAGTGTTTGCTGCAGAGTCATTGGTCTGGTTTGAGGCCTCTGGCTTCTGCAACACTATCGATGCTGGGCCCTCACTGGGACTCTTCTTGGGTATCCTGTTGTTGTCCCCGTGTTGTGGAGATCATACAGCTCTGGATCCATAGAACTGGCCCCTTCATGTTCTCCAGTAGTTTATAGATTGGGTGGATGTTGGGGAGGGCTAACTCAGCCTTGGTTCTGGGCAGGGTTGGTCTGTTCGCCAGTTGTTCCCCATCCTTACCACAAGGGTGAGCTCTCCAACGCTGTCCCAGCTAGTTCACCCTATGCAGCAAGGGGCAAGGGGTGGGGTAGGTTCTCCTGCTGTCATGCCCCAGGCGGGCTCACCCACACCTGCAGAACCAGGGCCAGCTCTGTTGTTACCAGGTGAGATGCAGGGTCCACTCTCCCGAGTGCTGCAGTTGGTGAGGGGCAGTTCTTCCACTTGCCAGCAAGAGGCAGGGTGGGGGGAAGGGTATTTTTCCCTTACCCACACTACCACATAGCAGAGGGGGATGGGACCAGCTCTTCCATTTTCATGCCCTCAGGATCAGTTCCGCCTGTGCCCCTGCGAACAGGGTCAGCTCTATTGTGCTGCCTGGGAGAGGTGTAGGGGCTGCTCTCCCGAGTGCTGCAGCCAGTGAGGGTGGGGCCAAACCAACTCTGTGCAGCCACAGACATCAGCACTGGTAGCAGCGGCAACAGGGCCATGGAGTGGGCAACACCATGTCCCTGTTGGAGAGCCCTGGGCGGGGCTGGCTGTGTGCTGGCTCTTTTTCTTCTTACTGCCTGGGGCAGGCCACCTTCAGAATATTGAAGTATTATAAGTTGTTATGGTCATATTAGTAGCTACAAATTTTACAAAATTGTAACTCTTGCTTGAAAATTTGATTTTTCTTTTGACTTGGTAACAGTTTTATCAGTTTGTCTTGAATAGTTTCTCGGAGTTCTCAAGAATGCTTTGTTTTTGTACTTGTCAAAGGATAAGACTTCAACAGTAGTTTAGTTTAAGGTTTTAGTTGGCTTTGTTTGTTTTTCTTTTTTTGATGTAGGTCTTGTAGTCCACATAGGCCTCTAAACTCACTGTGTATTGGAGGATGACCCTGGACTCCAGCCCTCCTCTTCATGTCCTTAGTGCTCTATTTGTAGGTGCCATGGAGGTCACCATCCCAGCTCAGAATAGACCTGTAGTTCTCCAAGGCTAGAGATCAAAACCAGGGCATTAGGAACACTAAACAAGAATTCTGTCACTGAGCTGTACTCTCAGCTCAGTGTTTCTTATTTAAAAGATTGCATCAGGACCAGGTATGGTGGTGCACACCTTTAATTTTGGCACTACAGAGGCAGAGACAGGTGGATCTCTGAGTTGGAGGCTAGCATCGTCCGAATAATGAGTTCCAGGCCAGTCAATGCTAGATAATGAGACCCTGTCTCAAAAAAACAAAACAAAACAAACAAAAACTGCCTCAGTGTCTTTCTGTAAACAGCCCAGGTAAGACCCCAGCTTAAGAGTGTCAGGGTTACAGATCTGCAACACTTGTAACGTGGAATTAAGTGGCTTGGGGAGCTGAGCAACAGGAGTGGTTTTATACACAGGACAGGCTGACAAAGCAAAAACAAGAACAAGAAGCAGATTGGCCATTTCAGAATTGCTTCCCTCATAAGGTAGTGGAGGGGAGACAGAAGAGTACACAACATGTGGCTAATTAACGTCAGATTATGTCATGTCACTTTGTGTAAGGATTAAAGTGGAGGGAACTTAAACGTCATGCTGATTGAAACTAAACTAGCCCATCTAGGAAATTTCTCCTGATTCCTTGAAAGGTTAGTTAAACAAGTCTTATATTTGGTAACATGGAGCTTTATCATGGGTAGATCTATTTTGATTGTGTTTGTTCTTTTGAAGTGTGGTTGAATAGAAGAGTTCAAAGTGGATGTTCTTGTCTTGCTCCCCGTCATTAGTGGAATAAGTTTGGTCTCTCACCATTAAGTGTGGTGCTAGCTTGTAGCTGACCATAGATGTGCTTTATCAGACTTCATCAGCTGATAGTCCAAATTTTGCTGAGAGTTGTGTTAGATGTTTCCTTTGTGTTATATGACTTCTTCCCCATTATACTAAATGTGAGTTATACTGGTGGACTTTTTAAAATGTTAACCCAAGTTTGCATTTCTTGGCTAACCCTTCAGTTACTTGATTTTATATGAATAATCTGATCAATATGTATTTAGTGAATAAAGATAATAATGTTCCTTAAATGTTTTTCCATTTTGGGTAACATTTGAAAAAAATTGACCACAAAATACTAGTCATATAATAACCCCAATTTTTTGAGACTTGATTCAGAGATTGCTTCTCTACAACTTTATTGGACAGTGGATGGTGAGTGGAAGTAAGTAGAGAAGTCCTGTCATTAAGGAACTTGACACTCTGTACATCTTTATATCCTGTATAGTTTGACAAATTTTGATGATCTCCTTTACTAACCTCTTGTAGATCAGAGAGAACAAACTAAAGAGTGTAAATGCTTTACTAGAGATTGTTCAATTGAGAACATAGTGATTAGCAACTTTGAGTGCTGTGGAGGAGAAGACAGAATTGTGGGAAGAACTTTACAAACTGTGTGGTGGAGAGCTGTTGAAAAGTCCCAGGAGCAAGTTCTATGTCTTGACTGTTGCTCCAGGCTCTTATTGTGCATGATTTATTTTAGTCAAGACAGGATTTTAGTTGCAGTGAGCTTTAGTAAGTCGTTACACATATGACGAGTGACTCTTGCAGGCGTTGTTTACGCTTAGGTGGTGTGCTCTCTGTTGCTGTTCTGGAGAGCGGGTACAACCTGTACTTGTTTCCATTCTCTGTATCTGCCACAAGTGTAGTATTCCATTCTCCATGTCCTGCTGCTGCATTCATTGTTCATCTTCACACTTGAAAAATGGTGGGCACTCTTGCCCAAACTGCTCTTATGGAGACCCACTTGAGGGTGAATGACACCCAGGCACACAGCACCACTGGTGAACGTTAGGACAGTCTGGGAATGTGATTGTGCTGGCTCCTAGCTTCCTCGTTCCCTTTCTTCTGCTCCTGCAGCAATTGGCACTCAGATTCATAGGATTAACAAGAATGAACCTATTTCAAAAGTTCTTCATTAAAAAGAATAGAAAGGATTTTGTTTTAAATTGTATATGGAAAGATAAAAAGCCTCCCACAATATTTGTGGGAGCAGAGCTTCATGTTCTCTGTTTCCAAGGCTCAGAAAACTTAGCATGGCCTTGCTGGTTCTACTGTTGAGAGTCTTAGTGCTAAAATCACGGTGTGAGTCTGGGCTGTGGCGTGAGGTTAATATCCTCTCTGTACTCACTAGTTTTGTTTGTTTTTGTTTTTGTGGAGGTTTTTTTTTTTTTTTTCTTTTTTTTTGTCAGACTGCAATTCCTAATGGCTGTAGGGTTGAGGCCTTCTGTTCTTAGAGGCTTTCCACCTGGTATGTGGATCTCTTCATAACACAGAGCTTGTTTCTTTACGGCTCTCTAGACAAGCTCTCACTCATTCTAATGGCTTTGATTCCTAGAGCTGCTTTTTAAAGAAGATGAGGAGATGAGGTAAGGTTAGACCATCTAGACTCTGCCTTTTGATTAACTTAAGATCTGCTGATGGGGACTGTACACACACACACACACACACACACACACACACACACACACACACACACACACACACGTGTTTTATACCTCCCCATACAAATAACCCTAACTGTAAGGGTGAAATCTTAGGAATTTTCCCACACTGGTATTTATTTGGGTTGATCTTAGCAGGATGCCAAGCATGGAATTAGTAAAGACAGCAGTGACTACCTAGTTCAATAAAAGTAGGCTCTTCCTATTGTCTAAGCCTCTCTAAGTAAAGCTCAGCAGATGAGATTGTAGAGAGATAGTAATGTACTTTTATGTGATTCCTGGCACACAGCTACAGTACCCGTGTACTGAACTGCCATGTGAACATCAAGGAGTGGGTTTAGAGAAGAAGGAGGTTCATCAGAAAAGGGGTTTTTGTTTTTGTTTTTGAAAACAATCAAGTTACTGTTAAAGTAACTAGAAAAATTAAAATGTTGTTTATTGGTTTTTCAGGAAAAACAGCTTAGTAGATAAGATGATGAAATTATTAAATAGCCTTTTCTTTTTCCCTAGATGGTATACCTCAAGTTTACTATTTTGGCCCTTGTGGTAAATACAACGCTATGGTGCTGGAACTGCTGGGACCTAGTTTGGAAGATTTGTTTGACCTATGTGATAGAACATTTTCTCTTAAAACAGTTCTTATGATAGCTATACAACTGGTAAGTAAAGCAGGGTGTTGGAGGTTGCTTGAACTTCAGTTTTTTTATCACAAGTTCCCTCCCTCTCTCTCACTGTATTCCTCAGTCTCTCTCTCTCTCTTTTTTTTTTTTTTTTTT